AAGACCGCTAGATACTAAGACATCATCCACTGCCATTTTTGATTTCTTCTCAGTTATATCAGTTCCCTTTACATTGGGAAAGATATGCAGCAAAGTAGGATGTCTAAGACCACAAACATCACAATAAAGACGCTTTTTGCTCTCTTTGCTGATGTGCCCAATGCACAAACACCCAAAACAAATTCCATTTTCTTTCAAGAAGCCAATCTTCTCTTTTTGGGATTGTTTTCCCAACTGAGGACACATACCCAATGTGTGTGCACCTCTACAGCAGAAACATTCTTTCATATCAAATCCAACCTTTTTCTTTGCTGTATTTTCGGATTCATTTTCTTTGCTCGCAACGACCACTGTGGTAGTAAAGCTGGTTCCTTTTATTCCAGGCCGAAATTGTGATTTTGGTCTCTTCGCATCTTTATTAGTTGCTATAGGAACATCCTGTATGTTTCCAAATACTGGGTCTGTTACAACTTTGACTTGATGTTCTAAAAAGTGAACAATATCAATGAAGTAAACTCTGCGTCTACGTCTTTCTTGTAGTTCACAAGCCACTGTTCTCCATTTATCCCGGAGTCTGTAGGGCAATTTCTTTATGATTATCATCATATTGGCAGGCATGTCCAGATCATACATATACTGCACTTCCTCCATGACGTTACCACAGCCTCTAAGAAAAAGACTGAATTCTTGCAAAGCATTCACATCTTCAGCTTTAATTTGAGGCCATGAAAGAGCTTTATTAATATAAGCAGATGCAACCTTCTGTTCATTGCCAAAATGTTCCTGCAACAAAGTTTTGGCTCTAATGTATCCTCTTTGTGGATCAATATGCTGACAACTCTGTATCAAATCCTTTGGAAAACCGACAGTATACTGTTCAAGGTAGTACAGGCAATCACTGTCGTTATCTGTCTTACTTTCAACGCTATTTTTGAAAGGTCTCATGAATGCATGATACTGTAATGGATCACCATCAAACACGTTAAGATCTTTCTTGGGCAAGGATGATAAACATTGCTGTTTTAACAATAGTGTTGTTATTTCATTTTGCTTTCTCATTATTCCCAATATGTTATTTTGCTCTCCATCGTTGGATTCATCATGGGAATTTAATACATTTCCTTGTGATCTCTGTTCCACTGTTTGGCATCTAGATGGGTGTTGTTTCACTGGATGAGGCTGTGAGAATACCAGTTGTTGTACAATTGTCTCTTTAGGCCTTGCGCCTGATTCCAAACACTCATGCATTGATCTTTTTTCTCTTAGAAGCATTGGAGGAACAAATGATTTAGCACTGGCATTAAGACTTTGTGTTTTCTTTTGTTCATTCTCTAAATTGGAATGTTTCCTTCCTGAACGGTCAGATTTACTGCTTGACACACTCTGAGATTTCAAAACATTCAGTTTGGCCATTTGAATTGCAATTTCTCCATGCAAATTAAGTTGTTCTTTTTTTTCCGCAAATGTTCCTCTTGATTCTCCAGCTCATGTTTATCCTTCAAGAATTGTTGTTGTGCCCTTAATGCTGCCAACTCAGCCTCTGCTTTGAGACGTACAGAAGAAGTAGATGATGCCACAGATCTTTTTTCTGTTGTTGAGCTTTGAATTTTGGATAATATACTCCCCACATTTGATACACTGTCAGTTGGTTTGATGTCATCTTGTAAATTATCTGATGTAACGATGGATGACACATGATCTAGCACTTGAGGATTGGGAAACTCTTCCTGCATTGCACCAGCACAAGACTGAACAGCCATAACATTCTCCAAATTATCTGATGTAACGATGGATGACGCATGATCTGACACTTGAGGATTGGGAAACTCTTCCTGCATTGCACCAGCACAAGACTGAACAGACATAACATTCTCCAATGATCCTTCTGGTTCACTCAACCAATGTTGAACCGCTTCTTTAAATGTGTTGCTGTATTTCATAATACTCCAAAACCATTCATTTTGTTTTTCCTGTTCATCTTTAGGAAGTAAAGGAATCACCATGTCATGCATCTTGCTGGCATTTTCACAAAGCTGAACAAGAGTTTTAAACTGAATTTGCACCTGGGAGGTATTTTCCTTTCTTTTCATCAGATTTTTCATCTCTGGTATCTGGCTCTTAATTTTGTTTACATTTGATTTTCGTTTAATTTGCAAACTTTCAATTTTGTTCGCCAAGGCCTTTGCAGTAAGTTTAGTTTCTCTTTTACAGCAATCCATTTCAAAGCCAGTGACGTCATCAAAACTCACTTCACTCATGTTTGTTTTCTCACAAGTCAACAATGTTCATATATTCATTCAAATCCTCCAACATCACAGCGTCAGCAACACGTAAACAAACGCCGTCAACATCGCGACATTATTTTTCAACACAAACGGATCGGCAACGATAAGCTTTAAACACCAGAGCAAACACCAATGGATAGATAGCGACGATCACAATTCAATCTGCGCGCAATCCAATACTGCACAGCTGATTAGAACAAAGCCCAACAGGCTTACCTATGCGGGGATTGTTTGCTTGCTTCTCTTCGGAGCTTTGCTGATCAAGTTTCGCTGGCGTTTCAACTTCTGCGGTGGCTGTAGAATTCCTTTCCTTGTTTTAATTGAGCAGAATCCTATCCTCCGTGGTGCGATGTGAACTTAATCCATTTGGCGCGTCCGCTGAGAATTTTCTTTGTTGACATAATATAGCGGCTACTGAATTCAATGATGATACCGCTGAGAGACTAAGACAGGGACTTATGCACTTGTAACGCATAAATACAACATCGATGAGGCAAATGATCTTTTACTAGCAATTCTTTATTGCTGGCTGATGTTTCTTGATGGTACAAAGTTTAGTGGTCAACAAAGAATACATCGCCCCTGCTCACCCCCTCTCACCTAACTTAATCAGTGAACAGGTGACTAATATTCACATTTCTACGTAATCCCGTGACCCCCCACCATGATCACGTGACAATCAAAAACATGAACTATTTCATGTCTACTACAACATCGTTAAAATAGTCCGAGTGACTACAGTGGCTCAATCTTAAAGGATAATTCCGGTATTTAACACTTTGAGTCTATTTTCTAGTTTGTTTTGGATGAACTAGAGTGGTGGACTTAGAAATGTTGACGATGGGCCCTGTCTCGACTTTTTGACTATTTTAGAATCGCCTCTGAGCGCTTCAGAGTGGATGTCTATGGGCATGCTCAAACATGTCCTTAAAACAACCCTTAACGTTCGTTTTCAAAACTGTGCAACTCACCGAGTGGTTAGTGGTGTTCGTTGATGATTAAAAACAAAAATAACGGCGCAATGTATGCTTTCAATCCGTGTTATTTGCTATAGTGGAACTATTTTTTCAGATACCTCACAACCGCGTATAAACTTCCGCTCGATATTTGAGTCTGAAGCGTTAGCACACTCCCGACCACTTGATGGCGACAGCCACTTTGCCGCAGTTGCTCAGCTCACGCTAGCCTTCTGAGAGACGGAGAACCGAGCGAAAAGACTACAACCAAATGTAAACAGACACCTTTCCGTTTCCGGTAGCGCAGTAATATCAACGAGCACTGAGTCCTCCAGCAGACATCAATGCGATTTTAAAAAATGGCAAATAAAACACGACAGAAACTGTATTTCGCTACGCTACTTGTTTTGGAACATCAACGAACACCACTAACCACTCGGTGAGTTGCACAGTTTTGAAAACGAACGTTAAGGGTTGTTTTAAGGACATGTTTGAGCATGCCCATAGACATCCACTCTGAAGCGCTCAGAGGCGATTCTAAAATAGTCAAAAAGTCGAGACAGGACCCATCGTCAAAATTTCTAAGTCCACCACTCTAGTTCATCCAAAACAAACTTGAAAATAGACTCAAAGTGTTAAATACCGGAATTATCCTTTAAGTTTATCAAGCGACGAGAATACTTTTTATGCACAAAAAAACAAACAAAAATAACGACTTTATTCAACTATTCATTTCCTTCTCTATACGGCCGTGATATTTCACGTAGTGAAACTACGCAAAGCTTCTAGGTTGTACGTCACAGCATCACACACATGACCAGCGTCGGCCAATAGTGAGCCTACGTGTGACGTGCAACCTAGAAGCTTTGCGCAATATCACTACGTGAAATATCACGGCCCACAGAGAAGGAAATGAATAGTTGAATAAAGTCGTTATTTTTGTTTGTTTTTTTGCGCACAAAAAGTATTCTCGTCGCTTGATAAACTTAAGATTGAGCCACTGTAGTCACTCGGACTATTTTAACGATGTCTTTCATAACTTTTGGGCCGGCCAGTTTCGATCCCTTAAGAAGCCAATGGGGGAGTGATCCAGCTCTCAGATTTAATCAAAATTATCTTAATTTGTGTTCCGAAGATGAACGAAAGTCTTAAGGGGTTGGAACAACATGAGTAGGGTTGGGTATCGGTTGGGTTTTATTCGATACCAGTACCTACTCTGTATTTTTTAAACGGTTCTGGTGCTTAAACGGTTCTTGAAACGGTACTTAAGAAAACGAAACCGCACACAATTTGTCAAAAAATAATACCCTTTTATTTACAGGGCCAAACTAGACACAATATTAACTTAAATCTTTAAACAATATAAATACAAGTAACATATGGTAATAATAAATAAACCAATATAAAATAAAAATGTACATAATATCAAATAAAACAATATTGTATCAAACAAATAAATAACAATGTAATAACTGGAGATTACTACCAGCCAGGGTAATCTAATCTCAATCTTCTCTTCCTAATGACCTGAACTGAACAGTGCAACACCTTAAATATTAAAATAGAAACAAATATAGAACAAGATATTACACAACAGTAGCTATTGCACATTTAAAGAAGCTTTTGTGACTGTTGGAGGACACTTTACATCAGTTTTTATTAACAATTCTTCTGCAGCAATATCACCATATTGGCCTTCTCTGGCAATATACGGCATCTTTCCTGACTTATAGCATGCCCAGCACATGAGAAAACCCTCTCAGAGGGGGTTGATGAGGCCTGCACACACAAGTACACCTCTGACAGGACAGACAAATTAGGGAGGGTATCCCTCTTACCCCCCCACCAGGCCACAGGGTCTTGTCCAGATGGGATGGCTGGCAGGCCTTTGTAGATCTCTATCTCTTTCTGGACCTGCTCTGTGATGGAGAGGGCACTGCTTGTGGTCTGAGTTGTATGAAGTTCTCGGTCTTCATCCTCAAACATCTGCTCCAAGGCTGACATCTTGTACATACGAACAAGTTCAGTATAGCACAAAAAACAACTATTCATCATTGTACAGTACACACAGTAGATAGTTAGTATATGTTTGAACTTACACGTCTGCCTGCTTGGTCCTCCTCTTCACCTGCCTCAGTCTGATGAGGGTCCTCCTCTATTGGAAGCTGTAGACACAAACAGAGTGCCCATAAAACAGCATTAAATAATCCTTAATTGCAGAAACTGTAACATGTGCATGGATGGACACAGTGCATATGAAAAAAGTTGAGCAATCAGTACACAGTCTCTAACAAACATGCAGTAAAATACCTGAGCTGCCGTGGCATTGTGAATCACTGCTTTCTCAAGCCTATCCCAAGCTTCTGCAACACCAACTTCCAGCCTGCCTTTAAAGCGAGGGTCCATCAATGTGGCTTCCCGAAGGAAATTCTGAATGTCTTGATCCTGTAATGAAAACATTGTTTAGTGTCTAATAATGAAAATGGTGTAATTTGCCTTCTTTCTTTGTGAACATGCAAATGGATAGTACCCTGGGGCGTAATTTGTGGGGGGGATGGGGGGATATAACCCCCCTAATATTTAAATCTATGCATTACAACCCCCCCATTATTTATACCATGATCACAATATCAGGAGGCATACCCAAACTTCAACCCCCCCAATGTTCAAACCAAATCTACGCCCTTGATAGTACCTGGTATCTTTTTTCGAGATCTCCCCAGACCTTCTCTTTTATAGCAGCCACAAAGACATTGTCATCATCGGAGGTTGAATAGTGTGCCTCCAGCTTTGTGAGGATCAGGATGATTTGGCTGCATGTGGGGGACTTGTCACTTGACACGCAGAGGGTTGAGGTGTACAATATTTTCATGCATTTCATGAATTCCTCTGCCTTCTCGAAATCACTCTCTGTAAGCCTTTCTAGTCTGTGGAAAATAAACAATAATGTTAATAAGAAAAGGAAAAGGTAAATTTATATTGTTGCAAGTGACCCTCTTGTCCATCACCTCACCTGTCCCTTTCCATTGGCCTCCTTAGCCTTTGATCGAGGCAAGCTGCCTGGATTGCAGGGAACTGCTCCACAAACCGCTCCACCATGAGGTATAGAGAATTCCAGCGAGTCCTCACATCCAGGATAACATTGTGCTCTGGCAAATCTAAAGCACAGACATTTGATTTAACACAAACAATTGCTTATATTTAAAAGTATTACTTTTCAAGTTGTATTTATAATTATTTATATGCTATTTACTGAGGAGTCGCTGTTTCTCTCTCAGGACAGTTTTGCTCATGGTGGAGCGCTTCAGCCACACCACCACTTCATGTGTGAATCTTTGCACAACACCTAGTCACAGCTTGGATGCCGTACACCTTCTGTGCTGCCAGGTTGAGTGTGTGGGCAAAACCCAACTTTTAAAAATTTCAGGTTTCTCAGGGCAACATCCATGTTGTAAGCGTTGTCTACTGTGGCAGCTATGACTTTTCCAGTCAACTTGAACTCCTCAAGAATGTTGTGGATTTCCTGTGCCACCACTGGCCCTGTCTGGGACTCATAAACTGCTTCAGTGCTCAGCACTTTCTGCTGGATGCTGCCTTTGTAAATGTAATGGACAGTCACTGTTAGATAGTGGTCCTGTGCCACGCTGGTCCATCCATCGCAAGTAATTGCAATTTTGCTGACCTGCGCCAGCTCCTGGATGACATTATGTTTTATAACAGAATACCACGCGGGTATGTACGTGTTGGACATGTCATCCCTGGATGGTGGTTGGTATCTATGATTGAGGGCAGTGCTCATCTCCCTTTATAAAAAAATAAATATGATATATATTAGTCTTGTACACAGAATGTCTTCATGATACAGAAGTGGCATTCACATGCATCGAGGAAATTCAATTTTAATATATAGCCCACATTTTCACCTGAAAGATGTCGATTCCACCATGGAAAAAGGATGAAGCCCCATCACCACAAATTTGGTGACTGCCCTGTGGATTTCCTGCACCTTCTCTTTGGTTAGTGCAGCCTTCTTAGCCATGGTGAAAGGAGTCACTGTTGTAACTTGAAAGCCAGAAATAAAAATATTACTATCAAAATTGTTTATAATATAATAATATACTAACTCTTCAGGTTACTACTACTAGTAGCCTATTCTGCTCAACAGGTCATAACAATTCTCCCCCACTTCCCCCTCCCACTCGATAAATAGGATTTGCCTCGGATTGAGCAGGCTGTAGCCTCGAATAACAACGTTTCTGATTAAATGAAAAATTGCGCCGTTTAATACTGATGTAAAATAAGATCAAGATTTTGTCTTCACATATTATGACTTTTACTTTAAGCAGAGAAATATCTGATAATAATATCTATAACTTTTACACTGAGCAGAAATATTTAACAACACACACAGTATAGACTCGTATAAAGAGGTGTTTAACATTTTGAAAAAAAAACATTTGCACACGTTGTCACACCGTTGAATGGCAATGAGGTTACTACTACTAGTAGCCTATTCTGCTCAACAGGGTCATAACAATTCTCCCCCACTTCCCCCTCCCACTCGATAAATAGGATTTGCCTCGGATTGAGCAGGCTGTAGCCTCGAATAACAACGTTTCTGATTAAATGAAAAATTGCGCCGTTTAATACTGATGTAAAATAAGATCAACATTTTGTCTTCACATATTATGACTTTTACTTTAAGCAGAGAAATATCTGATAATAATATCTATAACTTTTACACTGAGCAGAAATATTTAACAACACACACAGTATAGATTCGTATAAAGAGGTGTTTAACATTTTGAAAAAAAACATTTGCACACGTTGTCACACCGTTGAATGGCAACGGTGTTTGCTAGCCTACTTGATTTGCAGTTGGCATTAAATTACTAGACTTACCCGAAGAGGAACGGCTGCTGTTATCATCATCTGTGTCCACCACACTGGTAGAGCTGGGAGTGGGACTCTCTTCAATTTGTCCGGCGACGAGGCAAACGCTAGCTGCTGTTGTTGTTGACGTGCTTGCCTCTATGTCTCGTAGGTTGTCAAACACGGTGCATTGTTCGGCTTTTAAGTACACTCCATGTCTCGTCAGATGTTTCATTAAATTGGAAGTGATACCTCCCTTGCATGATATTGATTTAAGGCATTTGTTGCATGTCGCAGAGTCTGCTGTATTAAATGTGAAATGCAGCCAAACTTTGGAGCGCTTTGCCTTCGGCATCTTAATCCCCTCGCTATCAGTTCAACAAGTGTGCCGAGTAGCGGCTCTGACGTCACGCAAGTTGATGCCGGAACAGAACACCAGGGGGCGGTAAAAAAAAAAAAGTCAGGCACCGAAATCAGGCACCGAAATTTTCTTTTTTATTCGGTCTCGTTACTACCGTTTACGTCGGAACCGGTTCCCTATTGGCACCGAGTTTCGGTACCCAACCCTAAACATGAGGGTGAGTAATTACTGACAGAATTTTCATTTTTGGGTGAACTAACCCTTTAAACATTCACAGTCTCTGTACATGAACATGTAAAATGAAAAATCAAACACCTTGGAAATGACAGGTATGCATATATGTTTCAATGGCACAAAGGTGTGTGACTGTCTCAGTCTCTGTCTTTAGATCAGTGTGTTCAATAATGTGCTTTTTTGTCCTTTGTTGTGTATCTTTGTATTATGTTGTGTTGTAAATAAACCCAACCATTAAAAAAGCCATTCTTTTTTAAATCTCTCCTCATTCTTTGTGCAAGGTTCCTCATAATGATAGGGCCCTTATGGGAGGGTCTTTGTCTTTCTCAGGTGTGAAAAACATCAATATTCATGATGATTCGCTCCTCCTCGCATAGAGCTTTCTTACACAAAACATGTCTTACAAATTTTAAATCAATATATTGTTTTATCTGAATGAGTACGCAGAATGATTTTGACAGTTTTGAAGCAAATATTCTAAGCTACGTGATACAATTTTCAAAAGTCTTGTGAAGAAATAATCAGTATGGTTTCATGACCTTATTTCAGTGACAATTTTATTTAGATTTTTTTACAAACCATGCATAAACGTTATGATCTCAAAACTACAAACTTTTACATACATGCTGTTGACATATTATTGTAGCAGAGTTTGTGCTGAATACAGTGTAATCAGACTTTAGCCATGAAAATGTCACAAGTAACAGAAATAAGCACAAATGTCAGAGTATGTCACACACCTCCAGGGCCCAGAAAATACCCCAGACCCCAGAGGGTTAAACAGTTTCTGTACAAGTGACTTGCCGTTCTTCCTTGTGGCTTAAACACACACATACAAATCAAGTCAAGTCACATTTATATAGCACTTTTTACAATACAGATTGTTTCAAAGCAGCTTTACAGGATAACAGGAAATTAATGCAACAAAGTTTGTTTCCAGAAGAAAATAGCATCACAGTCCAGCTTAACTTAAGTGATGTTTCATTTTGTTGTAAAAAAAAGTTATTAATTTAGTTCATTTATATATATAGCCGCTCTGGAGAAAAACGTGATGTCATCATTGTAAGGAAGTCCACTGGAGGCAATTGTAGATGAGAACCCAAGTGCAGTTTATTTAGGATAACGTGAATAAACAAAACAAAAGCATGGCATGAACTCAAAACAAGACTTAAACTTAAACATGAACATGGAGCTTACCAGATGGCAGAGGTGGAAAGTAACAAATTACATTTACTCGCGTTACTGTAATTGAGTAGTTCTCTTACGAGAGTACTCTCGTGTTGCGTAAGCTAGTTTATGCTACAGGAAAAACCTCTTTTCTCGAGAATACTGAAGCCAACAATTATCCTTATAATTTGTATTAATTTAAAACGCATTTGCTGCAGCGAGCAGACCTAGGCGAGGCAGCTCGTGTGCCTATTGGCTGCTCTGCGGCAACTGCTGCAACCAGAGGTGTCAAGTAACGAAGTACAAATACTTTGTTACATTACTTAAGTAGAAATTTTGGGTATCTATACTTTACTTGAGTCATTATTTTTCAGCCGACTTTTTACTTCTACTCCTTACATTTTCATGCAATGATCTGTACTTTCTACTCCTTACATTTAAAAAATAGCCTCGTTACTCCTATTTCATTTCGGCTTGTTTTCATTTCGGCTTGTCATCGTTCAAAAAATGGCCAATTACACAAACGTTTAATAGATCTGAGTCCCGCCTCCTGAACATCGCTAAACTGATTGGCTTTGTGTTTTCTTTCTAACTTGTGAGAGGCTGTTACATTTGGCATGCGAAGCGGCAAAACTCATCCGAAGGAATTAGGAAACCTAGATGCGGTAAGTGAGGGAGAAATCAACAGTTCCCTTTCGTTAGGGAACTCCTACGTCTCGTCGGAGGAGTTTCCAACGAATTGAGATCACGCTAGGGTGTCCTCATTTGACAGGAAACGACCGCATCCAGAAACACACGGGTGAAACATCATCCTGAAAAGGACGCGATCTTCACCCGTGTTGCTCTCTTATTGTGCTGAAGCACACAGGGATAAATGCGGCAACACAGTGGGGAAACTGCAAGCCCGCTGTGCGCACTCAGTCGAATACCAGCCGTGACAACAGCTCTTTGAAAAAAAGGCAGATCGCGTGAAGCAGCAGCTGGTCTCAACACGCAGTCTCAACATGCTCAACATCTCTGACGAGACCACCTCCTCGGAACCCTCACTCCTCAGCGCATCGCAAACATGTTGAGACTGTGTTCGTGGGTGGTTTATGCTCTCTTACGAGAGCGTGACCACGTCGGCACGTTGTTCGTCTTGCCTTTCTCGAGGGGTTGAGCGCTCAGCGTGCCGTGTGCCATCAAGGTATGGCCACGTTCACTGTTTTGCATGCCTGGCAGCTTTCGGGTGGAATCTCTGGTCCTTCTCATGAGGGACCAGCTATTTCATTCAGGGCACCAGGGGAGGATCAGATGTCGATCGCTGCATCGGAGAGAGGGCTGTTACACTCTGGAAAAGATGACGCTGAGTTCCCACTGTAATGGTGTGTGTGCTCGTGCTGAATCGGGTTCAGACTTGACAGCCACACTTCCCGGGCTACTCTGGGGGCGCAGTGCAACGCGTAATCGCCTTGCCCCGCTCCGTGCCTGCCCGGATGCGTGTGAAAGAGCTTTTAGCAGTATGGAAGCATGTTGGTGCTGTGGAAAAAGCCAAGCATGCCAAAATCTGCAGAAAGTTTTTTCCTCTCTCACTACCCTTAGTGGTTTGAGACCCCACTACAGGGGTAGTTCTGAGTCGGGGTTGAGCTGTGCAAGTTATAGCACTGGCCCTCGGTCAGACGATGTCCACACTGCTGATCCAGAAGCATCCCACGGCTAAACCTTGTGGGGTACGAGACATCGCCAAAGTTCACTTTCTCGGTGCTCCTATCTCACAGGGTTTGCCGTTTTCGGCGACACTGTTGGAGACTGTGCCCAGCGGATCTCCACAGTTCAGAAGCAGGTTGAGGAGGCCAGGAGCTGACCCGATATGCTGTCGACTCACTCCTGGTTTCTCCTCGGTCTGTTTGTCGCCATGGGTGTCAGCCCCCTGTGAAAAAGATGTCAGCCAGCTTTATGGTGACGTCTAGCTTTCGCAGGAGGACGGCGCCAACTGTCTCAGCAGCCCTGAGACGGGTGACACAGGGTTGGAGGAAGTTGCTCTCAGGGAGATGGTGTCCTCACCTCTCCCGCCCCCGGAGGAGGGCCGGGTGGAGAATTTGTTCAGTTTCTGTTCCGCTGCTGGCTCCCTGAGTCCAGTGGTACCCTCATTTTCAATAGAGCAATTTCTTCCATCTCTGGGTTA